ACTTTCCGAAAAAAGTAGTTGACCAAAGTCTACATTTTAAATGATTCGAAACGACACGATGATTTGCAAGTCCCGCCTAATAGTGTATTTCTAGAGGTCAGACTGCATTTTTTTCTTAATTTGTATAACGTGTTATATATTTTTTATATACTAAATTTTATTTATGTTAACTTTGCTAATCATTATTGAAATTGAATATGTGAAACCGTACCGCAGGGGTATTCTGAACAGAGTAACGGGCTTTACGAACCCGCGGACCCCAGTTAACGTTTATCCGGCAGGGAAGATCCAGGTTATTAAACAGCTTCGTGTGTTTTATGTTTTTCACGAATCTTATTAATAACCAGGATTTTCCCATGAGCACTTACACTGAACTCGAGACATTCGACGTCAAGTGGGATAAACGGACGGACGGTGTAGTGGATCATTGATGGCTTTATAATATAAGAATTTAAAAATATAATGTCATTAATGTCACTTCATCGTCCGATACGATAAATCGATACATAAAAATCACTAAAACGACCTAGCCGTTCAACAAGGCCACATACTTTTTGTATTGGAGAGGTCATTTGTCTTTCGATGTCTAATTTAATTTTGTCGAATTAAACAACCCTAGACAAAAAGATTCTTCAACACGCAATCATCGTTCACGTGTCAACAATCATTTTCTCATATAGGATCCCCTCTCAGTACTTTTATTTTGTCCGTTCATAATTTTTTTAAAAAAATATTACGTCACAAAAAACTTAGCTGACTAAATTCTACATTTCAAATGATGTGAAACGACTCGATGATTTTCACGTTCGGCGTAATTGGGTAATAAGAGGTCTAATGCATTTTTTTCTTACTTTGTATTACGTGTTTTATATTTTATATATATTAAATTTTATTTATGTGCTTTATTTGCTTAACATTATTGAAATTGAATATGGAAGATTGTACTGCAAGGGTACTCTGAATAGAGTAACGGGCTTAACGAACCTGCGGACCCTAGTAAACGTTAGGTCTTTCGGTAACGGTTGTTTCTCGTAGATTATGATCTTGATCGTGTTTTTAAAATTGTTTGATTAGATTAATAAAAAAACAAAGACGGTCTCCATTGCATATACAATTTTCTGGAGACATTCGAAATCGATGGCGGTATAAGGACGGACGGGTTAGTTATACATTGATAATTATATAGTATATAAAATGAATAATATAATTCTCTGTGTTAACTCGCTCGTCCGTTACGACAATTACAACGGAAACCAGACATTATTTAGATTACTAATTTTTTTAATTTAGTTTACAATTAGAAATTGCTTCCGATGCCTTTATTTTGTCCGACCATTATTATTAATTACATTTTTTTTTAATTTTACCAGCGTAACTAAAATTCCGAAAAAAACTCATCTTGTAGGAAATATGAGAGAATTTTGGGTGTAAAAGATACCATTCTTTTTAAATTGCGTTTTAGGTCAAATATAAGATGTTCTCGTATGCATTTACACCTTAAACGAGACATTCGAGTTAGAAGGTAATAAACGTACGGGCGGGGTGGTAACGTAATTGTGCCTATATTTAATGTACGAATTAAATAAATATAGGCAATTATGTTTCCATTTCGTCCGTTACGATAATTCGATGCGTTCAACTTCAAATCCAACCAGCTATTTTACAAGGATATTGATTTTACGTGTTGAGCAGGTAATTTTGTTAATTTTTTTTTATCATTGCGAAATTATTTAACCTTAAGTTAGTTATTGTTCTTAAATCAGCAATGTTATTATATCGAGTCATACATATGAATTTTGTACATCGTATGTTTAACTTTGTTTTATTATATTTTAGTTATTTTTTTATAATTATACTTATTGGTTTAATTTAAAAGGTTCTCTAACGCTATTATAAATAAAATACAGTCCTGTTTGGTATAACCCTGTTTACATTATATTTAAGTTTATTTAAGAAATTAATATTCCTTTAACTTAAAGTCGTACGATGTGTGAACATCGGTCAAAAACTTCTCTTAAACATATTCGTATTAGATAATTTTTCAAGGTATACAACAGATATTTATGATTCATTATCATATTGTAATGTAACCGGCCTAACCTTGTCTAAATTTAAAATGTTAGAT